GGGTAGCGGTGTCTTGGTACACCCCTACAATGGATATGGTGGGTAGCGGTGTCTTGGTACACCCCTACAATGGATATGGTGGGTAGCGGTGTCTCGGTACACCCCTACAATTTAACCTGGTGGAAATGTGGTCAAATTGGACGGCCAGTTTCTGTGTTAACATGTTATTTATATTGTTATCTATTGTTATTATTGTGGGGTCATTGCTAGGGGTATGTTATGTATATGGGGAGGTTAACATTATTAAGATTTGTTGGCAATGACCCCATTTGTTATTCCTTAATTATTTATTAATAATTTAATAAAGCTGTGGACAAATTATTTCCAACAGTATAACCTGTGTCCGTGTTTTAATGGGGGTTTGGGTAAGGTTAGCGCATATGCCGGCAAATCCGACTGTGCGCCTGTCATGTAGCCCATGGATCAGCGCAGCTAAGAGGAATAGGCCTTGACAGAGCCAGGAGGTAGGCATAGCAGCCACAGGAATTTAGTGACAGCTAGCATGCTGGGTAGGGCGGAGCCATAAGGGGAGTATTTATACCAGCCATTATGTGAAGTGGCCATTTTAACTGAACCTAAGCTTACCTGTCAGTTGTCCCTCCCACCCTCCCTGTATTTGGTTAGGTTAGTTGATTTCCCGTTTTTTCACAGCGGCGGGGAATGGCCTGGTTAAATCGGAGGGTAGATGGAGGAGAAAGTGGGCATCCTGAGGTTTAGTGTGGATTGGGCAGTGTTGCACGTGGTTGGTAGGTTCGAGCCCGTCGGTGGCTCCGAACCTGGGGGTGTGGTGGTGTCTTGGTACACCCTACACTGGAACTGGTGGGTAGCGGTGTCTTGGTACACCCCTACAATGGATATGGTGGGTAGCGGTGTCTTGGTACACCCCTACAATGGATATGGTGGGTAGCGGTGTCTCGGTACACCCCTACAATTTAACCTGGTGGAAATGTGGTCAAATTGGACGGCCAGTTTCTGTGTTAACATGTTATTTATATTGTTATCTATTGTTATTATTGTGGGGTCATTGCTAGGGGTATGTTATGTATATGGGGGAGGTTAACATTATTAAGATTTGTTGGCAATGACCCCATTTGTTATTCCTTAATTATTTATTAATAATTTAATAAAGCTGTGGACAAATTATTTCCAACAGTATAACCTGTGTCCGTGTTTTAATGGGGGTTGGGGTAAGGTTAGCGCATATGCCGGCAAATCCGACTGTGCGCCTGTCATGTGATGTCTCAAGTTTAAAAGAGGAAATGATGTCATAGGTCTCACCTCTTATACCCTATTCTACGTTGTGATTGGTTAAAAGTTTTGTCACTCATTTCTTTGCTGCTATGGAGATAGTAAAGAAAGATTATGCAAAATACTCGCCTCCTGTCATTATTAAAATTAAGATTATCTGTACACTAAAGCTAGCATAATCTTCAATTATTAACTACAGTCACCAAAACAATTATAAAACAATTATCGTTTAGCGTAGTGGTTCTGGTGTTTATAGCCTGTTCCTGCAGGTTTTTTAACCCCTTAGTGACCAGACCGCTTTTACATTTTCATACCGTTTGGGACCAGGGCTGTTTTTAAATTTCTGCTGTGTTTGTGTTTATCTGTAATTTTCCTCTTACTCATTTACTGTACCCACACATATTATATACCATTTTTCTCACCATTAAATGGTCTTTCTAAAGATACCATTATTTTCATCATATCATATAATTTACTATAAAAAAATATAAAATATGATGAAATAATTTAAAAAAACACACTTTTTTCTAACTTTGACCCCCAAAATCTGTTGCGCATCTACAACCGCCAAAAACCACCCATGATAAATAGTTTCTAAATGTTGTCCTTAGTTTAGAAATATCCAATGTTAACATGTTCTTAGCTTTTTTCTACATATTATAGGGCTATAAGTACAAATAGCAATTTGCTGTTTCCAAACCATTTTTCTTTTTTCAAAATTAACACAAGTTACATTGTAACACTGATATCAATCAGGAATCCCTGAATAATCCTTCACATGTAAATATTTTTAAAAGAAGACAACCTAAGGTATTAAATTTGGGGTATTTCAGCTCTTTTCATGCTCTTTTCATGCAACTATTTTACCACCAATCTATGCCAAGTTTTAAAAAAAAATTATAATTGGTGATTTTTTTTTGACACACATTGCAATTTAAGAATATATGTACTGAGAACTTTAAGGGTTGCTGCCAAAGAACACCTCAATATGTGTTCAGCAACATCTCCTGAGTACAATGATACCACCCATGTATAGGTGTGTTGTGTTCTCTGGGGGCTAAAAGACCTTATTTGGAGGGTGCGCATTCCAGTTTTCCAAATTGGAGTTTTCACAGCTGGTCAGGCACCCATGTCCTATTTGGGACATTTTTGAAGCCGGCCAATGTAATTTACCCCCATCAAATCATATATTTTTGAAACATGATGCCCTGGGGTATTTCAAATGGTGGTATATTAACACTTTCCATGAACTAATTCTACCAACAGTTTTTGTCAAACGTTTGGGTAGTAATTTTTTTGTGTTATTTTTCTCTCACATTGTAATTTAGGCATGTATTTTCAGTTCCTGTTATGTGTAACTGACAAAGAACACCCCAATATGTGTTCAGCAACATCTCCTGAGTACAACAGTGCCCCCAATGAACACGTTTTATGGGTTTTTGCAAAGTTACAGGGGTCAAATGTAGGGCTTTCCCCTTTTCTATGTTTGCGCATTGAAATTTTAAATTTGCCAGATATGATCTAAGTACTTTTATTTACTTTTTTAAACTTTTATTTAAGTTTTGCAGACGTTGTAAAACTTTTCTGCAGTCATAAGGGGGAGAGCTAAGGCAGCCCCCCTGCAGGCAATGCACAAGCTGGCTATTCCGGCCATGTGATAGCTAGGACCCCGCGATCATGGCATGGGAGGGCTGGATTGGGCAGTGGGCATCTGCCTGAGCGACCCCAGGATCGCGATCGCCGGCAGAGGATTGCCAGTGATCAGGTAAGTGGCTATTTGCTATCGGATGTACCAGGTACGTCCGATGTTGTTAACTGCCATTTTTTGTCGGATGTACCTGGTACATCCGAGGTCGGGAATGGGTTAATGTAAACATTGCTTTTTCAGAGAAAATGCAGTGTTTATATTGCTGCCTAGGGACATCTCCAGTGGCAGTCAATCACAATGATGTTCAGCATCTCCATGTTCTCCCTGGAGGTGCTGAACTTTCCCCAAAGAGATGCTGTCATGCCAAAAGCATGAGTTGGTGTTTGATGTGTGTTTATATATGTTAAGAGTAGTTTTTTTGTAAACCTTGGGATGACATTTATTGTGGTCTTTGATCTTGCACCAGGCCTAGACCATAAAACATCTAGATAGCCATCACCAGAGCTGGACACAAGGAATTTCATAGAGTGGGCAATAGACTGCCAGACCAGCCCCCTCTGATCCCCCCCAGGGGTCTGCCCACTGAGAAACAACTAGTTTAGATATATGAGGGTGTTGGACTATCCAGGGAAGTCAGTTATTCATTTTTCTTTTGTCAGTAACTTCTAGGAGATCTATACCATCTAAGACTCCCACAAGAATTCTATATGGGGTAAATATATGTAAGGAATTTCTTGTGTTTTCTCCTATTTTATTTTATGTACTGTTTTGCAATTTGTTATCTGTATGTCATTTATTTCTGTATTTTGTACTCAGCACTGTGAATCCTTTTTGTCAGATTAAATGTTTACTTAATCAGCTTGTGTCTCTGTTCTCTATGAGCTTCACTCTCCAGAGGAAAGCTCAGGTAAACACGTTACCAAAAAGGGTTAACTATATATGTTTTATCAGTAAAAGTAGAACTGTGATACTATAATTCTCCTGTGTGTGGGGTAACCTAAGACGCCCGGGTTTAAAAGTCTTGGTGGTGGCAGTAGTACTAAGGGGGATAGTGTAGAAGGGATTGCAGGGGTTAATTGAGTGGTTGCTGGGACTAGCAACAGGTAACCAGGGGTCTGGTGTCATTAACTCTGTCACTTCCACACTCTCCCCACTGTCTCGGCTGGGCCTATAGCCCACGCACGTGACAAACTGGCGGCAGCGGTGGGATATATTTAGAGATTTTTAGTGCTTGCTAGATTTTACCTGTAAAGGGGGTCTTAGCACTAAAAGAAATTGCATACTTGTTTTTGTGTAATTTCCAAAGACCAAGCTCAGTGCTGATTTAAAATACATACAAAGTGCAAAACAGTTCTCCCCTTCCATCTTTTGTTTTTCTTTCTCTATCCTATTTTTGAATATGGAGGCCTATCGCAAACAATCAAAAGAGGCCTTGGAATTGTTGTGCCAAGAAAAGAATTTACCAACTTTTGGCAAAAATAAGTCACAACTTATTGCTGACCTTGTGGAGGCTGACAGCCATATTTTCCAGCCAGAGACGGACACTGAAAGGGTTACCGAGCTCCCTACTACTGCAGGAGTGTTGCTTACTGAAATGCCTGGTGGTTGTACCCCTCAAAACATTAAGGACATTTGCTCAACTGATTTATTTCGGCAACTGATGGCTGCAAATCCTCAGGAGGCCCTGCATGTGATGATCCAACAGCAGGCTGCAGAAAGGGAATCTGCAGAGAGGCTAGCCGAAAGGGAGGCACAAAGGAGACATGAGCTGGAACTTGCTAAACTGCAATTTACCCTTCAGTCCTCACTGAACAGCAATGCATCAGAGTCCAGCACACGTAGGCTCCGTAAGGATGATTTTCCTTCCCTCGAAGAAGGGACAGATTTGGATGTATTTTTAAAAAGTTTTGAGAAAGTATGCAGGCAGCATCAACTACCCTCAGACCAGTGGGGCAGATATTTAACTCCACAACTGAAAGGGAAAGCCTTGGATGTGTTTGTGTCCCTTCCCCCAGAGACTGATAACAACTATGAGGCAATCAAATCTGCATTGTAAAAAACTTTTAACCTTACTCCTGAGTCTTACAGGAAAAAGTTTAGGAGTATGCAGCAATGCCCATCATCCAGCTGCATTCTATATGTTGCACAATTAGAAACCACGTTCCGGCAATGGGTAACAGGAGTACAAGCTACTACCTATGAAGCCCTTAATGACTTACTGGTCCTAGAGCAGTTCTTGCAGACCCGGAGCCCTAATGTAAGAGAGTGGATTTTGGAAAGAAAGCCAAAAAATGCTAGGGCTGCTGCAGAACTGGCAGATGACTATGCAGACATCCATGCACCCACATCCAGGCGTGGACTTGTGTCAGCTGCTACTTCGACCTGGAGAGAAGCTACAGTTCAATCACCACTTGTAAGATCTGCAGTGAGAACTTCACCGCCGACTGCCAGCGTAGCCGGGGCTATGTCAAGTGAGTCAGATGCCCGCCGTTGTTTTCGATGCAACCAGATTGGTCATCTGAGCAGGACTTGCCCCACTAGGAATATGCCCTCACCAGTCCGTGGAGGGGCACCATCAGTTTTGCTTGTGGGTGGGTCCGTGGGGAAACAAGAGGATAACCTGCAGAGTGTAATTGTGGGTGACCAAGTGACCGTGGGACTGAGAGATTCTGGAGCTTCATTCACCCTGGTGCGCCCTGAAGTGGTGAATACGGAGGACATAATCCCTGGAAGAACCATGTCCATCAAAGGAATTGGGGGTGTGCGTCCCGCTGTGCCCCTGGCATGTGTGTACCTTGATTGGGGTGCGGGCAAAGGTTTGCGGGAAGTGGGGGTTTCGGAGGATATCCCTGTTAATGTTCTGTTGGGGAATGATTTGGGCAGGATGCTCTGCCACTATGCTCCAGAGGACACTGTTTGTGAGCCAGAAGGGCTGACTGCTCCACCTAAGGTATTGTGTGAAACTTTGGGAGACATTGTGAAGTGTGATTGCTGGGAGGGAGAGCAGGGTGTGGATAAATATCTACCTGTAACTGAACCAGTGATGTCTACCAAATGTGAGATAGGGGTGAGTAGTGATGTGCCTGTATTAAAATACTGTGAGGCTGGGATGTCAGAGAGTAAGGGAGAGGAGGAAGGTGAGAGCCAGGGATGTGTACCATTAGTCGCAGTGGTAACAAGTCAACAGTGGGTCAGGGCTGCAGCAGGACAGTCTGAGGTGCTATGTGAGATTGTGAGAGGAGGGCCTGCCTTGGAGAAGAAATTATGTGAGTGTGTGCAAAATTCTGTATCTGATCAAGGGGGGTCAAATGTGTCCTGTGAAAATGTATGGGAAAAGCCTTCCAGCGAGAGGGGGCTGAATGAATATATGTGCCAATATGTGCCTGAAGCAGATGTATGTGATGTGGTGGGTGAAAATGTGAAGGGACAGCGAGGCTATGAGGGAGGGCAGAGGGTGTGTGAGCTTTACTCTGCGCCAGGCTTAGCCAGTTTCCAAAGTTCGGTATTTGTGATGACCTGGAGTGAAAGTGAGGGGCACGGACAGACTCAGCCTCTGGGTCCAGGAAGGATGGCTGCAGGGAAACATACTGTTGGAGGAACCAGGAACCTTGTCCGTTTATCACAACTCACGCATACACCTAAGCAACCTTCTGATTGTGAACCAAAGGTTCAGAGTCTGATAGTGCAACAAGCCCAGCAGACAGACCGCAAAATGAAAGAGATGATGGATGTTGATACAGCCCATCTATCCTGGGAGTGTTCTCTGTCTGCTTTTTTGTGTGCTTACCGGGGAGTGCTGCAGAAATCCATTGGTTTCTTCCCTTTACAGCTACTACATGAGCGCAGTGGGTGTGGTTTAAGGGATGTTACCAGAGATCGATGGAAAATTGAAACAGGCAAATCAGGCATGTTTGTTGAGGGGGTAGCTGTGGTATGGACTGATCACAACCTGCTGCAGGTGACAGGTAACAATGATAAACTGCTCCATTGGAGCCCTATCCTCCAACAGTATAATTTCACTGCCCAGCACAAAAAGGGCAGATGGCCTGTCTCGGCAACTAGAGGGTTAATGGTAGACAGATAAATCAGCCTGTGGCTGAATTTTTCTGTCCACCATCTTAAGGGGGAGGTGTCATGCCAAAAGCATGAGTTGGTGTTTGATGTGTGTTTATATATGTTAAGAGTAGTTTTTTTGTAAACCTTGGGATGACATTTATTGTGGTCTTTGATCTTGCACCAGGCCTAGACCATAAAACATCTAGATAGCCATCACCAGAGCTGGACACAAGGAATTTCATAGAGTGGGCAATAGACTGCCAGACCAGCCCCCTCTGATCCCCCCCAGGGGTCTGCCCACTGAGAAACAACTAGTTTAGATATATGAGGGTGTTGGACTATCCAGGGAAGTCAGTTATTCATTTTTCTTTTGTCAGTAACTTCTAGGAGATCTATACCATCTAAGACTCCCACAAGAATTCTATATGGGGTAAATATATGTAAGGAATTTCTTGTGTTTTCTCCTATTTTATTTTATGTACTGTTTTGCAATTTGTTATCTGTATGTCATTTATTTCTGTATTTTGTACTCAGCACTGTGAATCCTTTTTGTCAGATTAAATGTTTACTTAATCAGCTTGTGTCTCTGTTCTCTATGAGCTTCACTCTCCAGAGGAAAGCTCAGGTAAACACGTTACCAAAAAGGGGTTAACTATATATGTTTTATCAGTAAAAGTAGAACTGTGATACTATAATTCTCCTGTGTGTGGGGTAACCTAAGACGCCCGGGTTTAAAAGTCTTGGTGGTGGCAGTAGTACTAAGGGGGATAGTGTAGAAGGGATTGCAGGGGTTAATTGAGTGGTTGCTGGGACTAGCAACAGGTAACCAGGGGTCTGGTGTCATTAACTCTGTCACTTCCACACTCTCCCCACTGTCTCGGCTGGGCCTATAGCCCACGCACGTGACAGATGCATTAAGTCAATACATCTTTACTGACTGGCACAGTGCTTCATTTTGTCATGCGTATGCGATAACCTCCCAATGCTTTTTATATTGGAAAGCTTTAGATTGGTTGAGATCATCAAATGGGTGGATGGTGGGTGTGGTCAGCTGCAAGAAGATCTGTATTGGGTTGGAAAAAGGTGAGTTAATTAGCTTTTGAACTAGAGGTAAGGGGGTGCCGGGAAGCAAAATGGGAACTTATACCTATAGTGTCAGGAATACACATTTATATTCCTGACACTATAATGCTCATTTAAGAGTTTTGTGACCTTTGCTCACATTGAACCATATAATGGAACATTGGACTCAATATTTAAAGAAACGCTATATTACCCCAACACCAAACACTCCAACCACTACAGAGCAATTTCATTGGTTGAGCTTAGCTTAGACATAGAACTTCCGGTTCTCTGTTGACTGTAGTGAATGTGTGAAGTGGTACCTTGTAAAACCCAGGTAAGAAAATATACTATTCTAAAATGAATTACTGCTAACACTGGTCGGGTGCCAAGGCACTCCTGGCATCTCACCATTATAGCGCTCTGTAATGGTTATTGTGCATGGGTGTTCCTCCAAATTAAGGGGACACTAAAAGCACCTTTATCGCTGATTCTCTATGAGTAGGTTATGGTTAATGGAGGTTTCATGTCCCCATTTTCCTGCATTTGGCTGATATAAACCGACTCTTACTCAATGACTCCATGGGGAAAGCTATGTTTCCTCTACTAGCTAAAGCATTTGTATAGAGATTCCCATTGTATATTGTAGGTTCTCCAATAGCTTTCTATGAAAAGCCTGCCTCATCTGCTGTCATGCCTTGTTTCCTACAAGAAAAAAAACAGGAAGACTTTTCTGTAAAAACAAATTGGAAACTGCTCTCTCTTTTCATGAATGAAACTATGATTGAGTGCTGTACTTGGCAGGAATATAATGGGAACTGCTTAGCTCTCCTATTGCACCAATTCACGGTTCCTGAAGATGCTAGAGATGTGCAGGGAAAGAGGACAATTAGCCTGATGAAACTGTTTCTCTTCTTTTTAATTTCTTTTTTGCATCTTTTTAAAATTCTATTGTTTTCATAATAAATAACCAAGAAGGGAGGGTTCAGATCCAGCCTGGAGTGTCCTTTTAATTGCCTATACAGTCATATCTCGTCATTAGGTTCACATTTTGTTTTCTCGTCTCCCTTGGTGACCCACTGGTTGACCTGTATGTTGCTTGAGGCACAATTCTTATATGCTCCATTTAGGTTGAAGAGCAGTTAATAAACTCTGGCATTTGCCAGCATGAGAAATATATTAAATTATAAATTCACACTGAATAAGGTAAGCAGCTGCTTATTTTCTCCCTTGAAAATTATACACGTAAAAGTTATTAAAGAAGGGTTTAGGAAACCAATGGGAACATGAAACACAATCATATCAATGAATAAATATTAACGTTACCCAGTCATTTAACAGAAATAATGTCTAGAGAGGTATGTGCAAGTCAGCAGAAAAAGAATATATGAAATGAGTAAGTAACCATAGCGACAATTAATTGTTATTTTTTTGTACTTGATAAATAAACACTATTAAGAATATAGAGCATGTGTAACGTCACTGCTATAAAAATTATTATTTTTTTAAATGTACATGAAAATATTATTCATGTCATTAGCATATTAAAATCCCACAATAGCATAAGTGTGAAAGCTAAACTGCTGAAGTATGCTGAAATTTTAATGGTGATATTTGATTCTTTAATTATGTCGGCCTGTTGTAGACTCAGGATCATCTAGATTGGCTTCTGAGACATGTCTTCTTTGTTATGGGTAAAACTGGGCTGTCCCACAATCCTAGCATCCCACATAAAGGGAGCCAGATAGTAAAGCTGTTATAATGAAGGTTAATGGCCTTGCAAAGAAATATCTGTTTATTGAAATATTAATGGAGCGTTCTGTGCAAGCATGAAAACATATTCTGATTCATATTGTTTTTCTAGTATATCCTGCAAATATTTGTTCAATTGCAATACAACATTATACAAATTATTAATATAGATTCTGTTTCATGCTACCTAAAAAAAACAGGCATTGCAGAAGCATTTGAAAGGGTCATTATTGTCTTAATATCACTGGTGTTTATATGAAACACTACAGCGGAACGTTCAAATGGGTATGTAAATGTATTCAGTATGCCTGTTAGGAAATTTACAGATTTTGGAAGCTCTGTGTTTAAGAGGATAACTGTGATTAAGACACAGGAGAGACACTTAAAATCAAATCTAAAGCAGCCAATCAGATTTAAACTGAAATTCAAATCAGACGTTCTTCACCGCAAAATATTGTTCAGGTATTGTTCATGCTATTCAACAATGTCCAGATTTTGCAACCCAGGCTCTGGACAGTCTAAATTTGACCAGATAGCTTAAATGTGGACCAAATCTTCAAAATCAAGCTCGGATTTATAAAAAGATGCAAACTATTTACCCACTGGCAGCTCTAGTAGCCAGCAGGAGAATAGTAAAATAGCCTTTGGTAGCACCTCCCTATGCCCCAATCTGCTATGCTGCTGGTGTGGACATATCTACTAAATATTTTAAACTAGTGATTGGGCAGCCATGGCTTCCCAGGCACTAGAAAGGCTCCATTCCATGGGGATAGGACCTGTAAAATACCAGGGGGACATAGGTATTGGGTGAGGGACTTTAAATTAAATTATGCAAAGTGGATAGATCACTGCCCCCACCTATGGCAAATGGATGAAGACTTTTTACTAAATGAAGAGTGGTGCACCTTAATGTGAACCCCAGCCTGCACCCATGGTCAGCTGCTGGGGGTTATAATAATATAAGTGGGGTAAAACCTAGTGTTCCCTCAGCACCTACCCATATTTGGTGAATGGAGGCCATAATAATACAATTCAGAAGGAAGGAACTAATGTATTTACCCCTTTCTCCCCCCACCATTGGTGGTGGGTGAGGGACCTAATATTTAAGGGGAGAACCTAATGTCTTTCCCGGTCCCCACCCAAGGGCACTAATTATAATATTCGAAGGTTGGACTTAGTGTCCCTCCTGGCCCTCACATATGTGCAGTGGGTGGGGGAGTCTATATAATTAAACAATGCAGATGGTAGTAACCAAGCTGAATTTTTTTCATTGATTTTACAGGTTATATTTATAATTTGATCTCTTAAGGAAGGAGTTGGAGACAACTGGTTCTGTTTAGTTAAATCGTAGAGCAACCTATGTCATTCCAATAGCTATACTTGGGATTCCCATTTCAAAGTAGATGCTTAATGACAGGTTTATGTGCTAGCCACAAGGTGAAGCAGTAGTATCTGGAAAATTATTCTATTCAAAAAAGTGTATCATTTCTAATTCTAATTCAAAAGTGAAAGCAGGATCTCTCCAAGACCAACAGATTTTATAGTTGTAATGATCCTTAAAATTAAAAATGACTGATGTGTGGCCACCAACTTCTGTTTGATTCTAAGGTTATATTTAGTAGCTCCCCATTCCAAAAAAGATTTGTAACTTTTCACCCAGTTTTCCGAATGGGGAGCTAATGACTGAGAGCATCAAATAATGTCTGAGGTTCCCTGGCCTCATTGAAGACTCGGTTTCAAACAGAAGTTGATGAGAAGAGCTGATGGGCCATGGGACCTCCAAGCACCAAAACAGCTTAATCATGATGAAGTTGTTATGTTGCCAGGACTGTTCCTTTAAATCTGGTTTAATTTGTAAACAAATGTAAAGTTAATACATATAAAACCTTGTACATATATTGTTTTTCTTCTGGAACATCTTTTTTGTGTTTTTAAACATAGCTATAATTTAATCAGTTTAAGTTTTTTGTTTGGCTCTCGCAGAATTGTAATTATTTTTATGCAAACTGCCAGATTTATTTACCGCAGTAATCATTTAGATGAACAACTGCAGGTGGAAGCAATTCAAATATGTAAACAGGTGAAAACAATAGCATTGCCACTTACAGGAGCGCTGGTTAAAAATGGATTCGTCAAAAGTAGTCTCGGGTTTTAACAGATTTTTAGTTGTTTAGTAATTTTCTGTCTTTCAAAACAAAGTGTACCCGACCTCTACATTTGTTTTGGTATTTACTGCTGTACCTAAGCTTCTCATTTGTCAATGGTAATAATTCTGGTGGGTTTATGCAGAGATATTTGAAGTGTGATGTGTTGAGAAGGTACGTATTGCTTTATTGCTTCTTGCTCTCAATGTAATGGCATACATTAGATTTTGTTTTAGGTCCACATGTTTCCTTTCTCATAATTGGACTAAGGCTTTTCTGGTAAATGTACGGGCAGTGTAGAAAGCATGTGAATATTTGATATATTGGAAAACATTTGAATCCATCTACTCATATGTGGAGGAGTCTGCATCCTTTTCCCGAACCTTTATGCATGGCTGGTTCAGTTTTTGGACTGCAATGCAATGTTAAATGAAATAAAAATAAAACCTAACGTCACCATTGCTCAAGTTTGGGTGTCTGCCAATGCTCGAGTCAGTCCTTTTCCTACATTTATATATTTTTCCACACACAGCAAAATCAAAAATGACTCAATTGCATAGTGTTAAAGGAACACTCCAAGCCTTATCACTACTTCTGTGTGCTGCAGACTCCAGATGAGTTGTCAAGCAAACAATTTGTAAATGGTTTGCCTACTTATCCTGGGAGGGTGCCAGGGCACTCCTGACAACATAACCACTACAGTGGCATCAGAAGCTTATATTCTAAGCTATAGCATTTATTATACATATTATTTGGTCATAATTGCTTTACATCTAATATTCTTTGTTCTGTACATTTAATTATCTGTAATTAAAAAGTACTGAAAAACAAGAGATACATTATGTAGGACTCAAGTCTTTTTACAACCTATATCACTCAGGGGTCTGGTAAGAAAATAAGGTTGATGCTTTTATTCAGCACAATTGAAAATCAACGTTTCAGTCACTACAGACTTTTATTAAGAGTGCACTCTTCTTGTTTTTGTATATTGTGGCTGGAGTTGGCACCAGGGCAACTATAAAACTGGGGAACTTGAGTGTTAGGATCATAGATGTGTGTGTGTGTGTTTGTGTGTGTGTGTGTGTGTGTGTGTGTATATATATATATATATATATATATATATATATATATATACACACGTACATTCACAAATACACCAGCTACCGAGGTTAGAAAAAGGAAAGTTCTAAAAACAGAATCCAGAGATCAGTATAGTTTAGTACTCCCATTACTTGGAGTATAGGAACATCTGCTCTAGATCCCAAAAGTACTTGGAACATCTCACTGTTCTCTAGCATTTATCTTGACTTGGCTATGTTTTAATTGAAGAATAATTAGTGAAAAATATTAATTGATTTATTTTAGCATGAATGTTATACCTTAAAATACAGTAGCTAAGCACTCCATTGTATTCAAAATGAAGAAATACAATCAACTGATGTTTTCTGTTGAGAGCTTGCAAGGTCAAGGTCATATTTTGTAATGTTTTATAAATTATCCTATTTTTCAATATTTGATGTGGATAAAGGCAGAAATTATTTAGAAACAGAAAGTCTATCTGAGAGCGCTTTTTTCTCATTTAATTTGTGCCCGTGACAGAATAGACAGACAATAGCAATGTTATGTAATTACTAGATTAGAAGCTCAGTTCAAGAGGTTTTTCTACCATTCAATTTACATTGTCTATGTTCTCCCCAGGCTGCATTTGTTTATGCACATCATAATGATTGGACACTACATACATATGGTGATTGAAGGATCAATCCATTTCATTTGTGAATAGAAAAAAAAAATATGAAACCAGATTACATAATAATTCTTCAGCAGCAATAAATAACTGGAGATAGTCAATGTATTTTTTTGTGTAAACTAAATTTATTTATTTTTTATTTAGAAAGCAAATTCTACTTTGATTGGCTCTTAGTTATATTTAATTTAAAAAACGTTATTGTTTAGTTTATTTGACATACATTCTGTTCTGTTGTTTGTTAATGTATTACGTTAAAGTGTACATGAATTCACATTGACAACTCACCTCCTCTACATGTAATTGTGACTTTATATCTAATGAAAGAGTAATATTTTATGATAAATCTGACCCTTCAAAGGGCATATGGAATTGTGAACATTTGTGCAAACAACTCAGATCTTTATTACACAAAGATAGTTCCATGGTTATTGGAAGTGCCAGTTTTCATCAAAGGTAAGTGGTACCATTTAGAAACCCATGTGGCTTTAAGGACTTTTTGTGGCCTCTACAAGACAGTGGTAGGTGCGAAGAAAGGCTATAGCCAGTCATAAAGGAATGATGACACAAGTCCTTCTTAACAACAACGAGGATGTTGGAAACACAGAACGTCTAAATCAAAACAAGCTCTCTGATCTGCTTATTGGAACTTGCGCATTGTCCCCATGGTGTTTCTTCTTCTCAATGTGCAACTATATGTTAGAGACCATTTTCGATATGCTTTGCATTGATGTAATAAAGCTGAAATCTGAGTAATGCTTTTCTAGCATCAAAAGGAAGCCAGCACTAAAGACAAAATTCTACCGTCTATTATTGGGCATTGGCTTGCTCAGATTCTAATTATTTTACTGAAATAAAATGCTGTGATGTGAAGCAGCAGGTCATCATTGCAAAGGCACATTGATATAATAAGGCTTATAAATCTAAAAAGTCTGTGTTGTTTATGCTTATTTACTTATTTTGCATGCAATTCTGTGCCAGGTCTGCTGAGCCTAGGTAACTGGTAAATTATATTTTTCTAAATCATTATGGTATGTACATTATCTCATTAATATATATATATATATATACACAATACTCTGTCTCCTTGATTATTTGCTTTCAATACATTCCTTTTCTGCACTAAGACCTGTATTTTTAACAAACAACTCGTTCTGCCGATTTGTGCTACATTGTAATTACGGGACCCACCATTGTGGCATGCTAAAAGAACTAAACCAGTTGTCGCTGGAATCCAGATGTACCCTTCATCTTTCCAGCCTTGTGTTTAAGAGCTTTTCTGGGAAGCTCCCCACCGCCTACCTGAGCAGAATGCTCTCCTCAGCTGTTGCCACCTGCTATAACCTCCAATCAAGTTGAATGTTTAATTAACCTTGTGTATAGTAAAATCATTGCTTCAGTACACAATAGTTTCCAAATAAAATACAAAAATAATAAATCATAGATTCTGCAATTACTTTAGGAAATCCAAAACTTGGCTCTTCAACTTCTTCTGAGAATATGGCTAGATACAGGCTGAAAATAACAGTTTATAAGCATGAAGTTTGGAATTTTTTTGTTCCAATGTGAAACTGTTATACACAGTCTCTTTTCCTTATCTCCTAATGAAAGAATAGGACTAGAGGGGGTAAGGTTAAAAAGTTTGTATGTCAGCAATGTAAAGTCTGTCACTGGTAATGCATGACATTAGATGGGGCCATAAAAAAAAAGTATTTTAGTCCCTCATAGATGTGCTAGAACAATTCCAGCCATGCACCAAACATGTTCAAAACACTATGTAAATATCTTTGCGTATGTACTTATCTATGGCAATGGCTATATTGCAACTGCACTGTAATTTCAGCAGACTTTTTCGTGCTAAAACAAAAATTAGACACTAAAAGCTTGGGACAGCTTTTTATTCTTTTTCAATATCCAGTAATATAAATGTGAAGGCAACAGATTATTTTTTGGGAAAGTATTGCAATTCAATGTGTACAATGAAACACTGGTGAAATCATATATTGCTTTCACGTCCTTAAGTATATGCAATTCATACAAAGAAAAGGACTTTGCGAAAAATAAATGATGATGCGTTTTTTAAAACAGTGGTGCATTATAGAAAACCCTAAATAATGCTGGATGAGTTTAATGCTGAATGTAAAGCTTAATAATAATTGCAATGTGTGCGAGAAAGTTAAAACGGTACAGTTTAGACATATCAATCAATTTAATATGATGAAATGTCAAGTTGTTTTGATGTCATGAGTAATCTCCTGAATACCCAGAATTATAAAATACTTGTATGCTGCTTTGTTACATCTTTAGTTATATGGTCTATCACAGAAGCTATTAATGGTCATGAAATCACATGTCTTTTGACAATTCCAACTTAGAACCAGGTCTTTATTGTGTTTCCAGTAAAAATAAAACCTATATTTCATTCCTTTCCTCGAGTGTTGTTCCATATGTTAAATCTCTCTCTCTCTTTCTCTCTCCCAAGGCATTCTCAAACCACTTGTTTTTACCTAACTTTCTATTTTCCAACTCCTTTCTTGACTCTCTTCAAACTCATTCTCATTCTCTGACCTAAGTAATCTAACAGATCTAGCCAAAGTGATATTTTAATTGCTGTTGGATCCAAAAGTCGCTCTTTATTAGTTCTATTCAATCACCACCCATTTCAGTTGGAGTCCTCCAAGACTCAGTACATAACCCTGTTCCATCTTATACTGCTTCTCATGGCAAGTTTATTTGTTTCTTTGGATGACAGTACCATCTGCACATGGTTGATACTGAGATATTCAACTCCTCTTCGACCTCTTTACTCCTGAAATGCATCACTAATGGTCTCTCAACTGTCTGGATAATACTAATTTCCTGAAACGTAAATGCTTTAGTGCTTCGATATTTATTTCTAAACAATACATAAAATATGTAAGAACAAGTTTTTAATATTTATAGTCTACCTAATCACAATGCACAATGTCCACAATACATCATAGACAATGTGGGACAAACATAGAACCTTAAGAAGATACAAATATAATATTATTTTGGACATTACCGATATTTCATTTGCTTCCATCACTTTTCGACATAGGCTGAGAGGTGTTGAAAAGTTCTTTCATTTCAAGAGTTAAGAGAGTATTCATTTGTAGAGCCACATGTTAGGAATCTATTTAAACCCTTCAGATGAGGAAGTGCTCTTAGATATATCAAATGACCGCTAAACATGTCCAGCTTATAGAGTTTCAATGATATGTGAATCATATTTTCATCAACTGATTTTCGCACGGCATTATCTTGAAAATGTCTGACATTTCTGGATGTACCTATTGCGCTGATTAATAACTCTATTACAGAGAATTAGACCATTACTCTATTATGATATTTTCGCTGTGGATGTAATTATAATTTGTCTCTCCGTGTGTAGGTCTATATATCTCTCTAATTGCTGCTCTATGATAATAGATGCAATACCTACAATGCTTACTCGAAACTGTTATTTATAGAGTAAAATATTTAGCTGTGTTACTTGCCAACCACATTGTTCTTTTCTTTTGACTAACCTGCTTTCATAAAGGTTTGTTTAACTAATTGTTCAACATAATGTGTTTCTGTATATGCAATGTTTTCACAAACAGGGTTATTTGTTAAATTACTAATTGTTGGATAAATTGTGGTTATAATGTCATAATTCCCCCGATATGTTCGTCTGTCATTGAAATGTAGAAAAATCAAGAAATCACTAACATTAAGAAAGTGTTCAGTGTTATTGGCAATTCACTACATGAAAACCCTGTCCTTTTCACGTGGTTTTACAGCAGGTAATGTGGTTTTGTGTCACTTTTCATGTACATACTTTTAAAGCAGTTTTAATAACTTAGATTCTTGTTTATTACTTTAATGTTATAATGTTAGGCATACAAACATATATTCTTAACACATTCTTAACACAGCATATACTCTTCCACAGCATAATTCACCTTATATTCCCTTCTGAGCTGCTTTTGGCGTGGCTGCCACTGCTCCCTTTGGCTGAGATCATCACAGGTAAGGATTGGTGGGATAGTGGGCATGCCTCATTGCATCAATCATCATCTCTGTTGGAGGAGCATTTAGTGTCCTCACACAGTTTGTGAAGATGCGAAATGTTGGTCGTACAAAGATTGTAGGACTGCACTAGGAAATCCCTCTAGTGCAGGCTTCCCCAAACTCCGGCCCTCCAGATGTTGCTGCACTACAACTCCCATGATTCTATGAATGAAATAGATAGGTTGAGAATCATGGGAGTTGTAGTTCAGCAACATCTGGAGGGCCGGAGTTTGGGGAAGCCTGCGTCTAGTGGCTGTCTGAATGTCTGAGAGGTGTCCTTAGGAAACACTGCAAACACTGCCCTTTTTCAGAAAACTGAAGCGACAGACTCTATA